TAGAAAGCCAATAGATGCAAACACATAGCACCAACCAAATCAAACTAATTAATCCTACGGAACTATTTCTACTTGTTAGAACCCAAAGATCGGGGAAGAATGCTCGTTCCTAACTTTACTCTTCCTGGCTTCATAATAGCCATCAAACAGGGCCACATAAGTATAAAATTCAATGAAGCAAAGCACAGTCTGTACAAATTTTCACCCGGTTGATTATTCTATAAGGTGCCAAACATATTGAAAAATTTAAGCACGAAACGAAAAGAAAAATTAGGTTTTAGGAAATTAAAAAGAAAATGAAAATTACAGAAAAGAGAACATACCACAGAATCATAAGTGTCGGGATTCGAGTCTGATAAGCCGGAGCGCTTGGTTCCTCTCATGATTTCAACAAATCTTGTAAAAGCGAAAAAAACAGTGAAAGATTAGGGTTTTCCAAAAATTACAACTTTTTTGCTTCAGAGTAGCTTGCTCAAAAGAGGAGAAAAGGAACGTTTTCAGAAGTGGGGAACTGAGATTTATGAATTAACAATAATAATAAATTATCAAATGCATAAACGTGGGCTGTTAGATCATGTGCGCAGAAAACTTTCAACTGGAGCCGTTGGATCTGTTCGCCGCGAAGAGAAAGACCACGTGGTCTTCGCCTTCGGCTTAGCTAAGCTGTTTGTCTCTTATCCAATGTGGAGCCCACTTGCTTGTCTGGCCCACCAATTTAGCCTTTTAAAGCCCACAACGTTGGCCGAATATCAAACTTATTATATAAAACATTATTTACATATATAGTCTTTAAACTTTTATCATAACTTTTAAAGATGATCCAATAAGTCTATAAAATTTTTAATGTTGTATATAATAAGCTTCTAAAATTTTAAAGTGTTTACTGAACTTTCAAATCTCGATAATATTTGATAGTTTCTAAAATTCACAAATATGTTAAATATAAATTTAAGATGTAATGATTTTAAGACACAAAATCCAATTTTGCATCTAGTCTATAAAGTTTTTAAAAAAATTGTTAATATGATAACAATATATTATAAAGACCAATGAGACACGAATTTCTTCAAAGTTTGAATTTAATAAATAAAACTTGTAATTTAACCGATTAGAATCTTCCTGGGTAGTCATTGTATTTTCAAGAATAAAATCGAGTAACAAGATGGGGGAAAGGAGGAAAAATAATAATAAGCTGTGGTATAAATATTCTGTTTCTTTTTCCGATTTTACATTAAATTTCAGTAACAACTTTGTAAACAGAAAAAAGGGAAACTAATAAGCACTAATGCAAATTTCAGGTATAAATAACATCTACAACAGCTCCTTATTGATTGACACTAGTCACTACAAGAACTCT